TAGTGCACTCATTTATGGCATCTCTTTCTCCCTCTGTCAGCAATAATTGATCAAAAAACACTTTTGCTTGTTCTTGAACATTGGTGGCTGAAATAATATTTTGTGCAACAAATGCTTCTGCTTTTGATGAAATAGAATTGAAACATATGTTTTGAACTTGATCTGTTGGATTTTCATTTGTTGACACATTTTGGTTACTGCATGCTTGATCAATTTCTTCTGCAGGATTAGATGACAGAAATTTAAGAATTGCTGCATCAGGATCAATTTCAGAAAGCTGCTGTGAAAACTTCTGTTTGGCAGAAAGGGCAGTGTCATTCCTTAGCTTCTTTGGTCTAGGATCAAAGRAGTCTACCYATGACTCATCACATGGAGTTACTTTGCGTTTTCCTTTTTTTGGTTTTGAATGTGAAATATTCATCTGGTTAAAAGGTACTGGTTTGTGATTTGGAGTGGGTTTAGGGTTCCAATATGCAGGAAGAGAAGTAGAACATATTCTGTTATTTGAAAGAAAGTCRTCAAGTTCAAAGAGTGCAGCACCAAGAWGCCTGCAACCCTGGTCTGCGCCACCTTTGCATCTACAAAATGCARAATAAATTGACCCATTGGGTTGTAGAATAAACCAAAGTTTATAGTGTTTCATACCCTCTTGAGTAAGTTCTTTCTGTGTGGGTATTACTTCACCAAAAACAACATGAAAAATGGCTCCATCATTATCCTTCACAGATTTTGTGCCCAGGGATCTAACATATCCATCTTGGAAAAGAGTATATTCATCAAATGATCTGAAGGATGCCAATTTTTCTTTGTCATATTCAGCTTTACTTAAGATAAGGTGGTTGAAAATATCAATTAAACCAAAAGGGGGAAGTCTCAAAAAATCAGTTGAAAAGTTTTTCATACTAAAAGGATCTGGAACAATTTTTCCTGCTGGGAGTGTCAACCTGCTGTTCAAGCATTGGCTCAGTGATTCTTTCTCGAAGTTGGGATCTGTTTCTAGATTCATACCATGAG